ATAAAATATGGTATCAAAACTATAAAACGTGTAGAAACATAAAAATGTAGTTTTAGAATACGTTCAAAATTAAGTTGCTATCAACTTAAAAATAGGATATTCTATACATGCATTTTTGTGGGAACTTTATGATAATCATTAAGCAAAAATGTATAGTAGAATCATAAAAGAAAATGAGAAAGCTAAAGAAAGTTAACAAACCATAAAAGAAAAGAACAAGTAAAGAAGAAAGAAACAGTAATGAACGACTACCAAAACAGCCAAAACCCAATTAACCAAGTAGTAATAAATATACACTTAACAACAATCCCTTTAAATGCAAATGTACTCAATTACTCAAACGACATAGAGTAGCTAAATTAACTGAAAGAAAATGACTCATCTGTATGTTGTTCATAAAAGATCCACTTTAGCCATGAAGACATTGACTAAAATGAAAGAATAGAAAAGTTTTTCATGAAAATGGAAATAGAAAGAAAGCTGGCATATCCAGCTCTTTAGTTATCCAGTCTTTGGTTAGAATAAGTATAACCAAAGGGAATATTTAGAAAAGTAGAATAATGGCTTCACAAATCTTACTTTAAAAGGTTGCAAATAAATATTTAATGAGATTCAGTTCTTTATTTTCCTAGAACTTGCCTGAAGATTTCAGTGTGGACTCAATGAGTTTCATGCAACACTACTATTTTGGTTTAGTCTTTTCTTGACTGATGCCAAAGATTTTGAAGTTCTGAAAACAAGTATGGACAACACACATTCCATGAACTTCTCCATTGCAAGTATTCAAAAGCATTCCTTAATGATTAATAGATGAAGTTCACCTTTCTCCTTGTGAATCAGTGACAATAAATTAGACAGCCAGTTACATATTATGTAGAATTCTAAACTGACCCATAAATAAAGTTTTGTACGTTCATATGAAAATTTTAGTAGAAGTTTAAGACCGAACAATAAAAATCCATTATTCCTTCCAATGTCTATGTGGGGAGGGGTCTTTGATGGTCAGGTTATTGCTTCTGGGGAGACCATTTTTGCAACAGTGTGCACTGAGTCCTTACCAATGATTTAGGCATGGGAAATTAATTGTTCAGTAGGTGGACATCTCTAATCATTATGTCCTTGTGTGATTATTATGTACCTAACTTTACTTGAATTGTATCAAACACATTGTAAACATGTGCTAGTGCTACGACTTGCCAACATTTGCCATTCAAATAGTTGTATTTCGAAGATTTAATGCAAAGTAAAAATCTTTATAGGAATTCTTAGATTAATAATCGTTCCCTTCTCTACCTCTTTTTTTTTTTTTT